AACCTCCAGAGGTAGAGACTATTGTGTGGAGGGAAAGATAGTGTGTGCTTACTCCTACAGTGTGTGCATGCTCCGTAACTGTGTAAATAGTTAAAGAAACTCTTTTATTTGGGCTAATAATCTGTGTTGTGCTCTGACCACAAAGTCTCCCCCGCTCTGCACATTACCAAATGGAGGGGGTAGCCCAGGGAAGCAAGGAAAGGCCAGACGCTTGGGTTGCCAACTTTCCAGGGATCCCCAAAAGATTGGGGATTCAATCTCCAAATAGGGAGATTCGGCCAGAGGGGTCTCACTGTCCCTCTAAAAAGGCAGTGACGATTCCGTGAGTGGTGGCAGCAAACTTAAGGAGTGAGATATGCCCACGGGATGAGGGTGGGAGGCAAACAGCTGAGTTGTAAACTGGAGCCCATTTCGCTATGGTAGGCAACCAAGCTTGGTTCAGACAAAGCAAGGAAACCCTTTGCAGGCCTTTGTGGGGAACTCACTGGGGCCAGTCCTGACTAGGGTTGCCAGCTCCAGGTAGGGAGATTCCTGGAGATATTCTGGTAGTGTCCATGGAAGCCAGGCTTTGGGGAGGGGAGAGGCCTCAGTTGAACAGAATGCCATAAAGCCCACCTTCTAAAGCAGTTACTTTCTCTGGAGGGGGGAACAGATCTGTTGTCTGGAGTTCAGTTGTGATACCTGGTGATGTTAAGGCTCCACCTGGAGGTTGGCTGCCCTAGGCGTAGCAGTCAGTGCTTCAGAGCAGGGTCTGCTAGATCCAGGTTCTTGCTGTAGAAGCTGAGTGGGTAATTTTGGACCAGTCACAGACTTTCAGCCTAACCTACCTCACAGGGTTGTTGTGCAACTCAAAAGGGGGAGAGGAGAATGATGTAAGCTTCTTTGGTCCCATTGCAGAGAAAGACTACTTTTCCTCCTGGGAGTCCATTGTTGCCAATCTCCAGGTGAGGGCTGGAGATCACTCAGAATTACAACTACTCTTCAGATGGCAGAGATCAGTTCCCCTGGAGAAAATGGTGGACTCTGTGGCAGTCAGGGCTTCAAAGCACGGAAGGGGCTGCATGTGTGTGTGGGGGTGGAAATGGAAAGCTGAAGAGTGAGGGGAAATAAAGGTAGGTTGATGCTTGGCTGGGAAGGAGATAGTGTTGCCAACTCCAGGTTGGAAAATTCATGGAGATTTGAGGGGTGGAGCCTGGATAGGGTGAGGTTTGAGGAGGGGTGGGACCTCAGAAGGAGCAGATAAAGGCTGTTGGCTGGGAAGGAGAGAAGGAAGCAGGAAAAGGTGAGAGACTATGGTGGCTTTCAAAAAAGGGTAAGAGAAATTTGTGCAGGAGGGGAAAATGAGATACCCCCCCTTACACACACACATTGCAAGTCCTCGGGGATCTCCAACTTGCACAACAAAATAGCTCCGTGCATTGGTTTTCCTGGATTATGTCTGCTTCCCAGGAGTCTTCTAATGGTCCTGAGCACCATAGCTCCAACTACTGTCTCAAGGGCTCACGTTCAGTCATGCTGCGTGACTTGTCCCAGCATCACATTCCTTTATCCAGCCAACTCCATTTTCCCCCTAGAGGGTCTATAAAAATCCAGCAAACCATTCCAGATCTGGCAAAGTCAGTCTGGCCAGGTGCTAACCAAAATGGTAGGGAGTGATGCCAACAAAATGCCTGCACACCCTGCACACCCACCTGCCATTTGGAAAAACAACTGTGCTCCAGAGGCTGACATGACTTCCTTTAGCCTCCCAAATACAATTCAAGGTGCAGATTTTTTAAAACATTCAGATCTCTCTGTAGCTTCTGGCTTACAAGGCCACATCTCATCCTACTTTCCTTCTGTCACAATAACAAGAACTGACTGAGAATGCCCCCTTGATAGTACCCATCTGTGAGCCACATCCATATGACGACAGAGCAAAAGGAGGCATTCTCTGTGTGGCTGCTCTCGATCTCTCTTGCTTTCTTCTACCAATGATCAGCTAAAGTCGGTCACAGCATAAAGCCATCACAGCAAAGATCACTCTTTTTGCTCGCCCTCCAGTGCAAAATTTCCATGTAGCCGTCTAGCCAGCTTCCCAAAGCAACCCTCTGCTTAAATCCAGATACTCAGGTTTACCAGGTTTGCTTCTATAGTGGGATCGGTGATTTCATATACATTCCCTGCCTGTGGGTATCTGGCTATACTTGCTGGCTTCCTTCAAGTGTGCATATTTTCTGCCCCCTTTCCCCGTTGTGTTTTTGCTGATCTGATAAGCAGCCTTTCAAGAAGAAGCAATTTCAGCTTTAAAAAACCTGCTTGTGCTCTTTGCTGATCAGGCTACTGTAATATAAGCAGATGACGCTGCCCAGACTTAGACCAGCTTACTTTTCTGCAGCCTGTCAGTCACTAGGAAGGGATTATCATTCCAGAACCCAGGGATTGATAATGACAAATTCATTAAGAGTTCACTCACCTCTTTTAACCCACCAACAATGATGGCAATCAAAGCTACTTTTGTGTTCTGCTCACTTGCTAGAAAAAATTAATGGGTGCTGCAGCCTGATCTAGGGATGGGTATGATGGCGCTTATTGCTAACCACTGTGCACTGGACTAAAGTCAGAACTCCACTCAGTTCTACTGATGCCAAAGAACATCGTCCCCCTAGGACTCCGCATATGCAGGGACAATGTTAGAATCCAGGGCTTGGATAAATGGCTGGGTGTCAGATGCCATTACTAGATTCATTCCATAAACTTTATAGAAGGGTGAAATTTTCCCCCTGTGCTGGAAGTACAACAGTGGCCTAATGAATGGCATCCCTGAACCAAGGGCGAGCTCAATTCATGCAAAGACTTTAACTTGCAGGGGATTGATTTGCTATGTTTGTGGCTTGGAGAAGGCTAAAGAGGTACATCGTCTGTAATGGCTGAGAAGCCAGAAGAGTCAAGATGATTTTAATTGTAAGCCACCTTAAACAGGACTCTGGAGAGGCAACTTAGAAACCTCCCAAAATGAATAAACAAACAAATAAATATGCTCCATTCAAGTGGACTATATAGAATTTTATAATTTAAAAGTGGGGCTGGTGTTTTGTTTTGGTTTTCTTTCCCCTGTGTTCATGAAAACAAGGCATGATTCAGTCCATGCTATATGCACTGCACCCATGAAATTAAAAGATGCCTGCTCCTAGTCATCAAAAACGTCCACATAGCTACGTATGTGACAGTTACTTCACTTGAGCACATCAGGTATGGCCAGAACTGTATCTTGCATTTTTATTTAAACTGACTGGTGTATGAAGATAGTATCCGAAGAAGTGCACAATGACTCACGAAAGCTCATACCCTGCCACATATTTTGTTAGTCTTCAAGGTGCTACTGGACTCTTGCTCTTTTCTACCTTCTGGTGTATGTTCACCCATTTGAGCTTGGGGAATGTAGCCCACCTTGCACAGAGTAGTTGTGTGGTTGTGTGAATCTGCACAGTGAAGGGTAATGATGGCAGATTCGGAGAGATTTTGCTCCTTCTATTGCTTTCATTGCCCTTGGACGCTACTTTGCCTGTGACCAGTGTTCCCTCTAAGCTGAACTAGTGTGAGCTAGCTCACAGTTTTTTAGCCTCCGGCTCACAGATTTTTGTCTTAGCTCAGGAAGGATGACCCATCACACATTACACTTCCTGATGTACACCTGAGATGCTTTAGCTACATGCAGATATGTAGATTGTAAATACAACATGTCTTGTGTGGATGAACAGCTCACTGGTTCACTGGCCTCAACCCACTGTTGAGTCTATAAAGTAAAGGTTTCCATGTAGAAATTTTGTATGTCGTGAAGTGGCCCTCCTGAATAGAAGCAAATTGTGGGATCTCATCACACATTACTCTTTCTGATGCACACCTGAGATGCTTTAGCTCCATGCAGAAATGTAGATTGTAAGTACAACATGTCTTGTGTGCATGAACAGCTGGTTCACTGGCCTCAACCCACTGTTGAGTCTATAAAGTAAAGGTAAAGGTTTCCGTTGCTCGAAAGCCAGTCGAATCTGACTCTAGGGGCCGGTGCTCATCTCCGTTTCCAAGCCAAAGAGCTCTAGAATATTTCTCCAGTTTCCGTGGTTATGTGGCCAGCATGACTAGATGCCGAGGCCCACGGAACGCTGTTACCTTCTCACCGAAGCAGTACCTATTTATCTACTTGCAAATTCTTGCTTTTGAACTGCTAGCTTGGCAGGAGCTGGGACCAGAGACAGGAACTCACTCCATCATGCGTCATGCGGCACTTGGGTCTTGAACTGCTGAACTACCAACCTTCCGGTCTGCAGTTTTTGTTAACAATTCCAGCTTTGCTTCTCTGCATAATGTGTGGAATGGCCCTGTCAGAGTCTGGATGATATCTTCTTTACACATGCACATGGGGGGGGGGATCTAGGCAATGATGCCACACAAAAGTTATTTTGTCATGTGTACTCCTAGAGGGCATTTGGGGGGACGATGACAGAAAGACAGCCAAATAGGTAGGTCTGTGTATTATCTTCACAGGTGCACTGGACGTGTTTCCCTTCACTACCTGCAGCAGAAAAGAGCAAGAGTCCAGTAGCACTTTCGAGAGTGAAGAAGTGAGCAGTGACTCACGAAAGCTCATACCCTGCAACATATTTTGTTAGGCTTTAAGGTGCCACTAGGACTTTTGCTCTTTGCTCTTGCTACAGACAGACTAGCACGGCTACCCGTCTTGATCGATGGGCAGCGCTGCCTGTGTGGGGCGGCGGTAACGTGGGGCGGCGAGCGCCAGGGCTGTGTGGGGCGTGTGCAGGGCTGAACTAGCAAAAGAGCAGCCGATCTTCTCCTCTTCCTCAGCTCAGCACTGCTGATCTAGC